GCTCTCTCTCTCTCTCTCTCTCTCTCTCTCTCTCTCTCTCTCTCTCTCTCTTTCTCCCTCTCTTCCACTCTGCTCTTTTCTCCCCATCTCCAGAGCCTCGACCCTGCAAACGACTCGTGGAAAAATAATTCAGAAAATGAAAGAGCCACAACCGTAGAAAGATGGGGTTCGGGAGTGAGAGAGAGAGACGAAGGGGAAGAAGTGGCTGGATTTGGCTACGCAGCGAGAAGAATGACACGTTGGCGGTGGTGGACGTAGTGGAAAAGTGACTCGTAGTCGTGTACAAATTCTCCCTCGAGGACCTCTTAGACCTAATTGGCCGTCCGAATCGATATCTGCCCGTCCGTTGTCGGCAAAATTGCGACGCTATGTATTTCTCTCACTCCTCTTTCTCTCCTTTTCTCTGCCGAGAGAAAAAGGGACAGGACAATTCAAAGTGACGAGAAAATAAATCTTACAGAACCGGTCTGCGGAAAAGGATAGCAGAGTTGCGCTTTTTTTTTCGTTGTCATTTCATTTAGTGAGTTATGAAAATAAATAGAGCCTATCGTTGTTGTTTATTTAAAAAATAGTGATCCAAATGTATGTAAACAGTTGGAATTGCCAACTGGAACACAGTCGGAAGGTGAGCGTGCAAAAATACGGATATACTTCTTGAAATTTGATCTACAAACAAGAAATGCTAAAAAATCTTACACCGTTAATGTGTAATACATTAATTGATACGACAAATTTAAAAAAAAATGTCTTAAGAATAAATATATTAAAATTAAAATTTGTATATCTGATCACAGCGAGAAGCAAGGAAGATTTCAGAAATCTTCGATTGCAGGCGCATAGAGAGATGCAAAAATACGCTCTATTGAATCCCACAGCATCAAAGTTACAGACGTCCTATTTCGAAGCGTGTATTTCACTTTTCAAGATTTATAATAAAATTGGAAAATCTTTCACATAAATAGATTTTAATGAATCGTACGAACTTTTCCATTTTTTCCACATCAAAATAAATTCTTTGTATCATCGATTAGCTTACTTTCTGCAAGAGACGAAAGCGATAAATAATGGATGAGTTAAATAAGATAAAAAATCCTAAAAAATAGACATAAAGAAAATATAGTTAGACAATGTGAATTTTGCTTCTTCATATTTTATCTATTGATGTGTCACGCTTGATGAAGTTGGTCCGCAGGCGCTACGAAGAGATAAGAGAGAGTCGATAACGCGTCTTTGCGCGCGATGCATCCGACGATGCCGTGGTGGCACACGGCCGAACGACGCTATTTAAGCGACTACTTAAAATCAATAGCGGCCCGACGTTTATATCGCGCGAAAGGTCTGACAGCATAATTCTTGTGCCCTCTTTGCCCTTTTCTCCCTTGAATTTCGAAAGCTTGTCTTCGCAAATTCTACCTTTCGCGAATCCTTTACCTCTCAAAGAGCCGGAGAATTGCAAAGAGTTAGAGATGTTACGATAGTGATGGTATCAAGTTATAAATGCTAAACCGATAAGATTTTTCGCATAAGCGTCTTTGATCTTGTATAATATTGTGAATAATAAACTAAACAAAAACTAATACGTGAAATATTTTTAAAGTGACTATTATATATATAAAGCCGAGATTCTAGGGATTAGTTTTGGATTTTCAAAAAAATAGAAATTTATTTTGAGAAAGTTATTTGATAAATAAAAATTTATTTTGAGAAAGTTGTTTGATAAAAATACTCAGAAATTGTAGGATCAAAATTTTAAACATGTCAACTCTTGAAATTGAATTAAGACTCTTATTTTCTGTTGACTTTTTTTAACTTTTAAAATATTAGTGCAATATATCTTCCAAAAACTATAAACGGAACGTGTGAATGCTCTCAGACTTTTCAAGCATTTTTTTACACTGTTAAAAATAATCCAAATATACAGAATGGATTGTAGAGTTCCAAACTTCGACAAGCTGGCCCTGCTATCATTTCAGTATATGGATTATTTTTCAATAACGTTAAAATACTAAGAAATTTTAAAAGTATTCATACATTTTGTTTAAAATTTCTAGATCACTAATAATTAAATAATTACAAAAAGTTAACCGTTATAAAAAGGTAATTAAAAAAAGCTGCTAATTCAATATTAAAAGTAGAATTTTCGAGCTTTGGTGAACTGGCCTTATTTTTCGTTTATTTTTACGTTAAAGTAATTAATCTATATTCAATCAGTAATTAATCTTACTTTTCGGGAAAGTAAAATAATATTTTTGGAACTTCTGCTCACATAAAATTTGCAGTGAAATCTATAAGAATTATTTGTTATTATAAAAATGTAATATTGAAAACACGCCAAACATTAGATTTTAAAATCGATATACGTTAAATCAACGCGTAAACAACATAAAATTTATTTATTATTTAATAAAATAATTAACATAAATTTTAAATTATTTAAAAATACAAATAATATTAAGTTATTGCTCTTCCTTAATTAAATTAAAAATCGTTTTAATATATAAAGCCAATAGAGCAAGAGCTGGATCGATTTGCTCAAAAATTCTTTTTTTATTATAAATTTATACAGATGTTTTGGCCAAGGTACGTGGCCATCTTCAGTGTAATACAAAAATTATAAAGTTTAGTACATAATTAGAGAAGCGTTGGTAATATTTTTTGACTAAGGAAACGCATCCTCTGATAAAACGTGTAGTACAATATTTGTGGTTAGTAACATTATATACGTGTGAAGCCACGGACCGTCTAACTTGAACGGTTCGTCAACGACTATGTAAAAGAAATTAAAACTGACATGTGTCCACGGCTGTGAGTGGGACTCGACTGATGATCATCATTCGAGTCCCACTCACAGCCGTGGACACATGTTACAGTTTTAATTTTTTTTACAGTCGTTGACAAACCGTTCAAGTTAGACGGTCCGTGGCTTCACACGTATATAATGTTACTAACCACAAATATTGTACTACACGTTTTATCAGAGGATGCGTTTCCTTAGTCAAAAAATATTACCAACGCTTCTCTAATTATGTACTAAACTTTATAATTTTTGTATTACACTGAAGATGACCACGTACCTTGGCCGAAACGTCTGTATAAATTTATAATAAAAAAAGAATTTTTAAGCAAATCGATCCAGCCCTTGCTCTATTGGCTTTATATATTAAAACGATTTTTAATTTAAATTATTTATCCAACTTTTATGAAAATAATATATTACGGAAAATTTTTATCGCGTGAAGTATGTTGCAAAAATTCGAAAAAAAACGTGTTGCTAATAAATTATATTATTGATAATAAGTTAATCGATTGAAAAATTCAAAGAGGTACGTATATTATTTATTGTAAAAAGAGAAATGTCACAATATACTTTGTAAACGATTGTTTGATCACAATTCGGAACAAATTATTAAACGTTTTTTTGTATTATTAAAACAAATTAATTAAAATATCATTTGACAGAAAGCTATATAGTAATCATAAAGGTTTAAATTCCGGAAAAAACGTTAAAACCACTCGTATTATATTCTTAAAAACTCAAATACTGTAAGAAATAAATCTCTTGTTTACGTAATAATCGGTTTATACCAGTTCACGTAAAAGAAGAAAAAGAAGATTCGAATTTCGGCAGAATTGAGTATTTCAGGATTTATGATATAAAAAGATACAGTGTGTTAAACGATTGTATACTGAAACAGAATTTTTATTAAGGGGCGAAATGCTGTGCTTTGTCCCTTTGGGAAACAAAATTGACATACGATTTATTATAGATTGGGTTTGAGCGAACAGAATGGCAAAGGTATGTAAAAAAAAAATTTCATTTTATAGTCATGCGCAAACCCATCTTTACAATTTAGAAAAAGAAAACGACAACATCGCTGATAAACAAGAAAAAACACCTTATTAAATTTGGTTCCATACCGCTTACAGAACATATCCTAAACGGTAACAGGTAACGAGATTAATTGTCTGAACAAATGCACATAAAAATCAGAAATACAGAGTATTTCATCTGCGCACAATCACGCGTGAGTTGCGAGTTATTTGTAAATAGTAATGCAAGTTGCGTAACATTGCGAAATCATTTTGCTATATGTCATCCATTTGGGTGATGAATTTTTGTTTTTTTTTTCTTTTTGATATTATTCGCGGGATATCGCAATTATTTCAGTTATAAAATGCATATGCAGGAAAGTTGGTTCTAAAATGTAAGACGCAAGAGGAATTTTGCAATGTTACACCCCTTATACTTACGAACAACCGAAACTCAGATTTTAACGTCACAAAATAAATCGATGTCTGTTATGTCGAAAAATCTTCGTTCATATCTCGTTAATAATAGCGATAATATAATTAATAGTAACAAAGGTATCACATTATAGTACTGTTTAGATATGCAGTTGGCCGATAATTGGATTCCGCAATTTGATAAACAAGTGTATAATGGTAATAAGTTTTTCAACGAAACGATAAAGCGTAGGGTAGAGTCGACAAACTGATTACATCTCGAACGAAGTATACATTACTTTTTTGTTTCTTTTTTTTTTGGTTTTTTGCACTTTTTTATGTTTCTCGTATATTGGAGATCTAATTCCAATATAATTAATCGAGCTGCGTATGTTATTCGAACGCGGAAATATTGTTTCCGGATGTTGAAGTTTCCGATGCGATCGATTTTCGATTCGTTTGTTGGGAATGTGCTTGGCACGCAGCTCGTAGCATTGGTTTCACACCAATGAAAATAATTCAGGCGAAGGTACGAGATCTACGATGCTGTTAGAGAGCTCGTTCTTAAGATGTTTCTCCTTCACGTTTACGATTTAAATCGTAGAACATTGATATACGAATATACTCCCTCCCCCTGGATGACCGGGGAGCATTCTCCACAATCCTCACACACACACATACATCCGGATGTTAACGCGTTACATAATCGTATTCCTAACGTCGTACGAATTACATTCGCTTACTTTCATATCAAGGGCACTCCTTGTTATTTCCAAGATGAGTCGCAAAAACCACACTTGGAGATAGTTTTGAGAATCAGACATGAAGAAACGTGGTCGTGGAAATGTCAAAGTAAAATAAACTTTTACTTTGACAATTTGCAGCTATGCGATGCGCTGTAGGTGTATTCGTTAACTTATTTTCCAGCATTTTTCGGAAAATAATATATTCGTCTGTAATTTGGAATATAAGAGTGGCAAATACATACGGCTGCAAAAGGTAATTTGTAAAATCACCACGTTCTTCAGTCTGTTCACGTAACATTGCTAATCAATGTTTTTCTTTTTTTTTTTGGATTTTTTAAGCCCACTTTTTTCTAAATTTATACATCCATAAACATCATTCTTTAGAAAGAGTCAAGTAAAGCACGCGGTTTTTGCAGATTCTATCAATATAATTATGAATAAGATTTTGCTTAATTTTATAATTTTCTAAAATATACAAAAATCTTATATCATATTTTAGGATTAATTATTATGAATTAATTTAATGTTCTTTCTTGACTAGAATCAGTTCAAATAAATTGGTAGAATTTTCACACGTTGCTAGGAGTAGCAAGAAACAGGGTTTTACGTAGGAAGATTAACGTTTCCTTACTAGCATGAGCTAATTGACTCTTTCGAAAGTTGAATAAAATACATTTCGCAAAATAGATTCCATAAAATGGATCTATCAGTGTTTCCAATTACGGCGCGGTAAGATTACAGCGCAGTATTCTTTCCTTAATCTACGTAAGATTGCCAAAAGAATTTTTATAGAATCGCTGTAGGCAAAATAACAAAAAAGCTAACAGAATAAAAGATTTTCGTATTTTGCAAATGGGAAGACGTCTCGCAAATTACGCCAGCGAAACGATTGTTATTGCGTTGAACCTATTTCACATTTGTACATTAAGTAGACAATAAAATGAAAGCGACCGTAATATTAGACTATGACGCAAATGTATGCGATTCCGATCGATCAAATCAATATGCAGTGGGCGACAAACTTATTTGATCAATAAGATCGCATGTTAGATAAACTTACTGGCAGGAAGAAGATCGAATTGTAGAGACAAAGTAAATATAATATAGATTTTGTTTTCGCGGTAAATATAGTAATGATGTAAGATTTTTTTTTTTTAAATAAATATTGCGGCCAATTTGTATAAACAACATATAAACCTTCGTTTTAGAAATATCAGCTCCGTATGTATTCCGGCATCGCGTCTCCAATGAACTTATGAATTAATTGCTTTCCCAGTATTCGTGCATCACAAGATTTCATGGACTTGCAATGGTATGATGCACGCCTGCCCTATACATTCCACTTCCTGAGACTTTTCTAGATCAACAGAATTGTTGAACCACACGTTTTCCCAAATTGGGAAAGTAAATCCATTAATAATACCCTTTAACTGCTTTACATATTACAGAATGTTCGCAATTTTCAAACGCCAAAATTTTATGGTGTATCTACGACAGTTACATTAATGCACTTAGCGCTGCAGTGGTGTATTACAATACGCGACAACGGCGACACAAAAGAGGCCTACTGTAAAGGTGCTTTTTCACATTGTCGCTCGACAATTCAACTTTAGCGTTAAGATATCGTGTGACCAAAAACTAGTATAACGGTTGGTTATTTGCAGTCACACGATCTTCTAAAAGAAATCGAGCTGAAATCGAGCGTCGAGCGTCGAGCGTCAGCGTCAGCGTGAAAAGGCACTTAATTATCAAATCGTAGCAGATATAATTGCTAGTTTTTCAGTTCGTTCCGGTTGTTCAAAGCGTTTATTTTATATGTGGTCAATGGCACCACCATCATCTCACAGATTATTTGTGTTTGTTATCTCGGTCAAGCAAAAGACAACGTTCTGATAAGTCAGAAACGGTCATCGGGTCACATTCGTTGCTTTTCACGGGTAAAATTCTCGGAGTGTCAACACTGCGAGAAGCCATCCGCTTGCGTTATATAGGTTTTTATCTATCCTATATAATACAACAGCAACTAAATCGTAACTAGAGGAGTCTTGTCGAACCGATGTGATGGTAAAAGAAATAGAAATATAAAATTGAAAAGTACAATTGATACAATATCAATCCCGAGAAAGTTCAATTTTTCTTGTTATATGCTATTTCTTGTAAAGCATAGACGAAATTGTTTTTTTTTTTAATAATAAATATACATCCAATAATTATACATTCGCGAGCTACTTATTTGATCGTGCAATCCATAAAATTTATTGTTAATTTTCGAAATAGCATTTAGTGTAACTTGTACTTTCGCGAAGTGAAGTGAACAACCGTTCGTCCAGATCTACTATCTACATACATTTACTCAATCGTCTGTAATTTTAGTTTCCTCTCATATTTTTTGTGCCAGCAGTTATCTCATTACTGTCTATTCTATAGTCTTCGGTTAAGCTCACGGATAATTAACACTGCAGTCCTAAGCGCATTTTGAACTGCCTTCTATCATTGTTAATATTTCACTTAAAGACAATTCGTCTCCAATATGAAATATTTTGGTATTACCTATTAATTTTTTGCATTCATAAACCTAAGTCATATTGGCTGGTGGCCTTCGAATTCGAAATTTCAGCTTAGTCATGCAGATACTAAATTTTTCCACATCTTTGCACATCTTCCTGCGCGTGGATACCGTAATTTCACAGACACTTCTAGAGATTCTATGTCAATATATTATACAGAGACTTTGGCAGTTGTTTTTATCTTTCGTGAGAGAAAGTATGTGATAATAGTGAGACTCGCGTCCATTTTATGTGTAGTATGACTTAGCACGCATATTAGTTTGATGCACGCCTTCGTCTACAAGCGCTCTCCACTTACTTCTCACATACACGCTACACAATTTCGGTGATAAATACCTGCCATTTTTTTTTTTATTATTAGATTTTCAGCCTTGATCGACTATTGTTGTACGATTAAATGTAGGCTGCAATTGGACATATTGGATGCTGTAATCAGCATCAGACATAGAATCTCCACTTTTATGGAGTCCACCAGCCAGTTCTTTATAAAAAATAATTATATAAAACTAGTCAATTGTACAACCTCTGATTCTCAATCACGGTACTGTAAAAAGAAAATCTAATTCCGTTTAAAAAAAAAAAAAGAAAAAAAAAGAAAAGAAAATTCCACTAGCGATTGAATAAACAGAAAAAAAGATCGTTTTAGCGTTGACAAGTGATTTGAATTTCAGAGTTGTATGACAATATTGACGAATAGCAAAATCAAGCCATGATCAAATTACAATTATAACTGATATTTAATATCGAAATTTTATAAATCGCTAAGAGCAATTTATACATAATACATAAATTCGTGACCTTAATAGTGTCTAAGGGCAATTTATATGTATGCATAACAGTACAAAAGTAATGAGCACTTGGAGTATGTTGCACTCAGTGAAATCGGCCGATGGGTTTTACTTCTCTAAATCATACATGCCCCTTTCTTCATCGTTAGACAACAGAAGAAAAGAAATACTGGACAAATGAAGCTGTTGTATAAAAATTCTCTATTAAAAACGATGTTGTGTGTACCCTCATGTAATATTTACAGGTATGATAAAATGCAATGATTGATTAGTACGTTATTCACATATTGTGCATCTTGATAATGACTTGATTCTGATTTGCTTTAGCTTATGTACAGTACATGTTATATACATTTAAATGTATTCTTCTATGTACAAAGAACGACTCGCATCGGCATTCGCACGACACTTCATGTACGAGTCACAATCACCATTGTCACTTTTAAACTTTTTGAGCGTGTATAAGTTTCATTTTGCGACAGTGTATCGAAACTACTTAGACACATTACCTTCTTCCATACTATTATTGTCTTCTGGTCTTGCCACGTACAAACTGGGATCTATCACTTTTGGGATAGGTTTAATTTCTGTTCCAAGCTCTTGTTCGATACGGTGTAAGTTGAAGCGATCCTCGTACGTGATTAGGTTAATTGCTATACCTAAATGGCCGAATCTACCAGATCGGCCTATTCGATGCAGATATGTCTCTGCCATTTTCGGAAAGTCAAAATTGATCACGACATTCACAGCTTGCACATCAATACCACGAGTAAATAGATCACTGCTCACCTGTGAACAAGAATTGGCATTTCGTTAACGTTGAATTTCATGTTGAATTAATCATTAAAAATAAAAAGTAAAAAATAGCTGATGTAAGTGAAACATTATATAAGTAAAACAATTAAATCAAGTTATACGTTTTTATAAATCAAATTATACGTTTTATAAAGCACGTACATTATTCATAACAAAATAACAAATTGATATAATAATCAATGTTATTGAAATTAACTTACGAGATTTCGGCATAATCCTGCACGGAAATCATGGAATACGCGATTTCGGTGTGCCTGCGCCATTTTCGCGTGTATGTAATAACAGCAATATCCAAGATCCGTTATTTCTTAGCCAGTAATTCAACGCGTTGCGTTGAATTGCAGAAGATTATGCTTTGTGTTATTTGCAACTGCAAAATATACAAATAGAATCAAACAAATATACGAATAAATACAAAGATTGCAAAGAGATTTCTGAATCAAAATCTTACTTTGGAGAATAGCGTGTTAAGGCAGTGAACTTTTTGTCGTTCCTGTACAAAGGCATAATATTGTGTTACACCTTTCAAAGTCAATTCTTCCATTAAATTAATCTCGTATGGATCTCTCAAGTGTTTCTCCATAAATTGTTTTACAGTCAGAGGAAATGTGGCTGAATACAACAAAATCTGACGTTCCTGTGGTAATCTAGAAACAAATACAATAAATTATCATTATTAAATATCATCAAAAAACATCCACAAACAATTTGAATGATTATTTTCGACAGCATTGTAATACATATGATATCATATGTAATCAATTTTTCTATTGACAAAAACTATTAATTTTTTTAAATATTAAGTGGAAAGTGTGGCAGTAATGTAACAGTGATAACAAAAGTTCAGTAAATTTTGAGCAAGAGTCAATTAAAGTTAGTCATTTGTAATTAATAAAAGTTTGTCATGCTCGGGAATATAAACATACTACAATAAGTCATCAATTTGACAAAGCATAAAAAAAGCATACTTAATCAATTTTTTCTTATAAAAAAATCTAGTATTAATATTTAAAAAATATGTAATTAATCAAAAATTTTATATAAATTATATTATATTTTATAAACATACCTCGATATGACGTGATCTAACATTCCTTTGAAGTCTTGCGAAAGCAGTTTATCTGCTTCATCCAAAACTAGAATCTTACAATGTTCCATATTTGCCACATTCTTATCCATCAGATCCAAAATTCTTCCTGGCGTTGCGATTATCACTTGTACTGAAATCATAAATTAGACACCGATTATATATCAGCAAATTCATTTAATTTAGCTGTGAATTTCTTACTTTTCCTAGATTTTACCTTTTTGATAAATCCTCATAATGTCGTCACGTAAGTTCGTGCCTCCAGTAGTGACCATAACTTTTATATCCATGTGTTTTGCGAGCTCGATGCAAATCTGTGATGTTTGTAGCGCTAACTCTCTTGTAGGTACAATTACCAGTGCTTGAATTACATCTTTCCTTGGATCAACCTAATACAGCAAATTAACACAACTTAAACATGTAATATTCCAATCAGATATTTTTTCCAAGTTAATAATTTTCTGAAATATACCTGTTCCAATACTGGAATTGAGTACGCTCCAGTTTTACCAGTTCCATTTTTCGCTCGTGCCAAAATGTCTTTACCAGAAAGTGCAATGGGAATACTAGCTTCTTGAATCGGTGATGGCTTCTCCCATCCCTTTTCAAAAATTCCCATTAATAATTCGCGTTTTAGGCAAAATTCTTCAAACTCGTTACCACGTGTGTCGGTAACATCCTGTAAAATAGTTTGTTAGATTAGTTTAATTTGGAAAATTTCAAAAATTTGTTTTCAAAAATTAGGCAACAATAAAAATAACTCTACATTTAAAAACAAAATTGCTTAAATCTAAAAAATATAAGTCTATTAATTTATTTTTATCATGAAACTTACACTTGTTTTAATTCTTTTATCCTTTGGTGGAATTTTTAACTTTGCTTTCCAACCTACATCATCCATTTTATCTATTTCCGGTTTGTTAGACAAACCAGAATTCAACATGTTGTGGTTAGAATTCATATGCGTCTCTGTCATCATTTTGGAAATATAGTAGTATATCTACTATCTTTTCCTGTGAAAAGAAACAAGAAGAAAAGATTTATCGCTATCTGTAATTATACATATATACATATGTGTGTGTGTGTGTGTGTGTGTGTGTGTATTATATATATATACACATAATATATACACACATTCCATGTAATGTAATATATATATTCTAGTAATTATTTTATTATCTTATCACAATTTCTTTGTTTGAACATATTATACTTGAATTTCATTCATTCATACAGAATGCTTCTGCTAAATATTATAATTAATTAAATTATCAATAATTACATTCAAATAATTCTGAACATATTCAAAAGCATCTATAGTTTTTGTATTAACGTCTGAATAGAGAGCTAGAAGGAGAACAGGACCAAACAAAATTGACCTACAATGACTGTACGTCTATAGATGTGTTTGCCGTTATAAATACATTCGAATGTGCTAAGTGTTTTTGTGTGTTTGGATGTATAAGCCTCGAATGCCCAATAGATGAAACAGTTAACTGTAGTGCAAAAAATTTGATTTTCTCTTCATTTATAATATATATAAGACATAAAATTTATATATTTAAATAAAAAACTCAACAACTATTTGTAATTAATTTTAATAAATTATCTATTCCTAGAGCAATAAATGTATGATATATAACTTATATGCAGGAAAGAACGTTTCAGCATTATTAACATATATGTCTACATGTATATAATATTACTTGTATAAAACAAAAGAACATTCGCAACTTTCGAGGTCAGCTCGTTATACATCAGAATGATGAAATAAACTACTTCGAAAGTATTGGATTTTATGGAAAGACTAATGAAAAAAGAAGGACGCCATAATTAGCCTAGTCATAAGTAGCCGTGATTAACGATAGCCGATACGCCGATTCAGTCGTGCAAGCAAACATGTTTCGCAAATTTCAAATGCGTAACGTTCGAACCGTCGATAAAAGTAGACTCTTACGCGTAAAATACGGTCGGAAATTTATCTTCTGAAAAATTTCAACGTGCAATGTATGTCAAGCTAGCTAGCCGCCCTTCTTCACCAAATCTCCCGAAAATTCTCGGCCACGCGTGTCATCGGTAACAAAAACGAGGCGCCGTTACCGTTAGGCTCCAGACCAACAGATTTTTCCGCGGCGAAAAAACGCGCCGTCCATAGCGACGCGGCGCGAGCACCGACGAGGGGCGCGAGGATCACGAGCATGCAGGGCGTTCGGAACGCAGAGCGTCCGCGTGTTCCTTACCTCAAAAACGGATGGACGTCGATACCGTGTATATATGTGAGTGTGTGTGTGCTTCGAGCACTCGATCGAGGGGAAACAACACGCCAAAATGGCCGTTCCCTGATGTCAATGATTTCGTCGACTTCTCGCAGCGCCAGCGACCGCGTCGGGACACCGTTGTGCCGTTCGGTGCGATCGCGTGCTTCCTCTTCACCGCCTTTACTCGCCGTTCGGGCTCCGAAAACAAAGCGGTTCTTCGCGTGTAACGCGCGGGTCGACTCTCAGTCTCTCTCTTCCGTCTCTGCGTCTCGTGATTTGCGCTCAGTTTGCAGTATCTCGAATTCCCGACTGATGCACTGCGTCGAATGCGAGCTACGATTATTGCTTGTTCGGCGTACGCGGCAGCACCATGAAAGAGCAATATCAAGATGCGAAACCCCAATCATATCATGAAGTATCACTTTAAGATACGGTTTTCATGATCATAGTAGTGCGCAACCAATTGCGAAGCGTATCAATACATCACGTGATTCAATCGTGTGACAAGGTTGGTAGCAATAACAGCCGAAATTCGTTACTGTCGTTATTCGTTACTAAACGGCCAAGGTAAGATTCGAAGTAATTAAAATTACTGGTCTATTTGCACAGCATTGAAGTGAGTGTAATCTTATTGAGTTTCGGATTCCATGCAAATTTTTATTTATTGCCGATGTTAATGTTTGCTTGATAACTAAGCAAATAAATGGACTAGATGGACAATGGAATCGAGCCATATTTCAATCTGCTAGAAAGGAAGAGTCAAAATGTAAACTCTTCCTGTACTAAAATTATTTGGAAATGTATATGAATAGAGATGTTCATAAGATCACAAGAAAGTACAACAGTTGAATCTTGCTTTTGGGAAACAAATGATTATTTTAGAAATACATGTTGGACAGGTTTGCACAAATCTTGCTTTCTAAATGTAATTAATTTGGAGCAAAAGTATTATTAAAACTTGATTTTATTCGAAACATTTTATTGAAGAGTTAGCATAGTTTTTATCGTCAAATTAGAACACAGTTATAATATTGTAATAGAACGCAAAATTTTTATGTGTAATAGATATTGTTGAGAACAGCTGTATTGAAATTGCTTGTAGTATTTTTTTCATATCCATTTACGGACAAGTGGGTTCCTTTTTCTGAGACATACGATATTTACGACAAGCTTCTGGACAATGGCGTTCCAAGTAGCGTCTTTGCGAAAAAGCCTTAAAGCACACACCGCAACGCCATTGCCACTGATGATGATTACGTGTTCTCTGGTGAGCGCGCAAATTCGAACTGCAAAATATCGCAAGGGTAATGGTTAATCGGCTAAATAGAGGTTAGTTAATGATCTCTCAATAATTATTACTGTTTTGATATAAATAGCACCGGTTCAATAGAATAAACATATACAATGGTTTATGATTATCACTTTTTTTGCATATAGCAGATGTTTTGATTTTAAAATTTAAATGTTAACAAAAGTTGGATTTTTAGAAAATCAATTTTCAATTCGTTGATGTTTAGGTTAAAGTAAATTTTCAAAATTATAATCTTAATAAAATGTTGCTTTTTTTTATGAATTGTACGTACCGATCGGCAAAAGATTTGTGACAAACTGGGCACTCGAAGGGTCTCTCGCCTGTGTGAAGGCGCAAATGGCCCTTCAGCACCCATGGTCGATCAAAACTCTTATGACAATAAGGACAGTAATGCATCGTCTTATTCCTCTTCCAGGGTTGAACATTATCTTTCCCAGTCGGCTTCTTCTCGGAAGCGTTGATCGGCTCATGCTTTTGCTTCGGGACCAAATACAAAGCCTGCGCCTGCGACAGCTTCTCCGTCTCGCAGCTGTTGATTACGACCTTTTGATTTATTGTCCCAGCGATATTTTCTGGACTAATTGTCGGATCTGCTGTTGCTGCCTCTTTTGCATTTGGCGAAGATTGAGATGCATCATCGACCAGTGTTGCAGGTATTTTTTTAGGAAACTTATTTCCATCAATTGCAGTATCCTGATGAAAATTCGCGAAACTTCTGCTTGCCGTATTTAAGTCTGTGTCGAGCATCGCATTATTAATCTTATGAAAGCTGTACCGGGTAACAATAGGAAGTCCTGAATATGTCCATATATTGTTCGTCTTCGATATTGCATCTTTTGTGCGAGTCTTACGCTTAAGCTCCGTTGATGGCGGCAGCCACGAGTATTCGGTCTCTGTAAACATCGATTTTCCATCATGCAAAATAGATATAATATTTAGTTACCAAAGTACATCAAAATTTAAAGTATGTCTGAAAGATTTATCGTCATTTTAAATGTGGAAGCAAATAATTCAGTGTGAAATAGACAAATTAAAATTCCACATCAAATTAATTCAATCATTCTTTAATCAGCAATTATTAATCATCAATAATTAACAATTTCAAAGTTTTCCTGTTGTTTCTAATTGGTAAAAATTATTTTAAGAAAATGTATTTTGATTTTTCCATTAAATCGTTGAATTGCTTATGCATTGGCAATTAAAAATCTAACAGTTTAATAACAATATATAAATTTTAAAATTAAAATATATAAATTTTATCACACATACTGCACTTTGTTGTGCAGCATTTGTACAACTTGTGAAAAATACTTCCCGGCAAAATGTTTCTTGTAATATAATTTCTATGTTATTAATTTTAATTCCTATCTCATTAGAATTTATAAATATCACGTGAAACTTAGCAGACGTAAGGCATGATCGTGCGGGAGCTGTTTATTATGATAGCCAAGGTGAAAGTAGCAATCACAATTATCATATTTCCAAAAATTTTAGAAGGTATGCCAAAATATTTTATAACCATTACTGAAATTTCTTATTTGCTCGTTTATCGCCGACAAACCTTCACAATGAACAGAGATAAAGAATATATCAAGGATTGATAATACCTTCGCTCGGACTGCTAGTTCGCTGATATCGGGCCATTGACTTTATTAGGCACCGTGGCATTTTTTCACATAAAAATAAACCTGCTATCTACGAAAGACCAAGAACTTCTAAAAATGTTCAGCTTTTGTCAACGGCAGCAACATGGCACTTCATTAGATCGGTTTTTGTTTCAAGCAGCGCTGTATATTTTTTACTCGCTGATGCGCGGTAAATAATCGAAATTATTAAAACGCAACGTTACCGCGTCGTTTGATATAGTATGTTAATCATCAGGTTAATCATCAATCTTTTTCTTTTATCTTGATAATACTTACCACTCTGACATTGTTGAATCGTATTATTGTAAAAATTATAATATAATTTGTAAATAAATTTATAGCAATTACAGTTATAATATAATTTATGATATTCTCTAAAATGAGGAGTAAAATTAATGTAACGTAATTATTTTATAGACATATTTGCATTTATTATGATGTGTTAAAATTTATTATTTCAATTTTCATATATTTTGAAATATTATTTGGTTGAATTCTCAGTTAGCTGGTGGAATTTGTATTTCTAGGCACATATATATTGTCATGCCGAACGTGTTTGTACGAGATATCCATTAAGTTTCTATGTTGTTAATAGTGACCTTTAGTTTTCGATAACATTCGTGGTGGAAACAAGGACTCGGAAGGACCAATTTGAAGCGAACGAGTCAGAAACATTTCGTGCGACGTTGCGACCGGGTCAGAGCTTCGTTTCTTCCTTCAGATTATAAAAAATACGTGAATACGTTAATGTATATAAGCGCTCTCATTCATTGCGGTGAGTACATTTTATCTATCTTTTTTAGAATTATTGCAGTTTTTATCCGCAACTAAATATTTAACATTATATATAATAATATATATATATAAAATAAATTAAATATAATACTTTTTGATCGAATTATTTAAAACATTTTTTAAACGATATTGAAGGTTTATACGATCGTAAAATATCGTAGTATTTTAAAACCATTTTAGATAATTTGTAATTTGCAACAGAATTCAAGATACAATTTTATTTAGGACGATTTTGCGTGTGTGCGACGCATGTGTGTATATGGTGTGCTGTGGTTTGTGGTGTGTAGTGCATTCCGATTCTTCAAAAGTTTTTTATTGCACAAAGTTATAAATACAGTTTTATCTCGAATTTTGTCGCGAATTTTAAGTCGTCTAAAGAGTGCTTGATTCATTTCAGTATTATGATAGAATATTAAAATACATTTAAAAATTTACCGTCTTCATAAAATATAATACTCTTTACAATAGGCAATATTTTAATTTGTGCGATTTTAATTCCATTTATTAACATATTTATGAGAAAATATTGAAATAATTGAGCCATTGTGATTATTAAGTATTCCAGAATGTTTTTTAACTCTTATTTATTGCAAAAATGGACTACATCTCGCTCATAGCCGTACAAAATAAAAAAAAATTTTTTTTTTTTTTTTTTAATATTGGGTTGTGTAATAAGTAACTTCGGATTTTTGAATAGGATTTCTATTAGAAATTTCGAAATTACTTATTACACAACCTAATATTAACACCGATTCCTTGCATGATTTACTCATGGCAATAAAAAATCATTTTTATATTGATGACCTAATGTTAAAGTAGTATCAACTAATTAATTACTAAAGATTAGCGTTAAATAACTCAAGTAATTAATTGTACTTAGTAAACAATTTTTAGTAATATTTACGAAAATAATTCTACTTCTATTTTAAAAATTTAATGTGCAATTTGCATATTTAAATTGCTTAGTGCAAAAATAATTGAGAAAATAACAAATAATTAATGATAAAATTTTAACGTATTTTGCAGATTATGTATCGTATAGTATACCTGTTATTTATATGCAGCTTCTTATGGGTTTCCGTTAACAGCTCGTCAATTTATAAAAGTTATGGTAAGACAAAAATTCTATTTGTAGGATACATTAATTTTTAAAACATCGGTTTTTTATGCTTCAATTTTTGTGGTCCGCTGTCATAAAGATTTAGGCAAATAAAAATAATTCTGTTTTTAATTATTTTATTTATTTATACTTCATATTACTAATGTGAGATAAAAATTTTGAATTTAGAATCTCCAAAGTTTCGACGGTACGCGGAATATGATATAGATGAAGAGTGTGATTATGATTCATTTATATGTGTAAATAACAATAAGTGCATACCAGAATACAAGCGATGTAATGAGAAATTAGACTGTGAAGATGGAAGCGATGAAAAAAACTGCAAGGAGTACAGGGTAAATATTATATAATTGCCAATAACATTTCAGTTATTATATATTTTCAATTTGAGAAATTATCTTCTAAGTGGACATCCACTATTTCTTATTTTTCTAGATTATATGTGTACACACACAGTGTCAAGTTAAATAACATTTTTGTGTTTTCAGAAAAACCTTCATATTACTTGCGCTAATGATGAATTTCAATGTAACAATATAAAAGAGTGCATACCGGAACATAAGTTTTGCGATGATGTATTTGATTGCACAGATCATAGCGATGAATTCTTTAATTGTCAGAAACAAGTAAGTGAATTAGCGTGATTATTTCGCACATTATCGCATATTATTTACCTTTATATCTGTATTACTTTATGTTATAATGAATTTTTTCGCAATTTTATTTTTGTCACAATAGTTAAATTGTACTGATAAGTTTCGCTGCAACAATGGATTTTGTGTGAGAAATGAATGGGTTTGCGATGGCACGAAAGATTGTAAAGACAACAGCGACGAAACAAATTGCGGTAATTCTTTCGGCATATATAGCTATTAATAATTATGAAACATACACATAAATTGTCCTATGTTATAAAAAGATATTCTTTTAATGTTGTTTTGTCTTTGCAGAGAATAAAATTACAGAATCCGAGTGTAATAATACAAATAATCGATACTTATGTAAAAATAAACGATGCGTTTCTCTTAATGTAGTATGTGACTCAAAAGATAACTGTGGAGATTATTCAGATGAAGGTTATAACTGTGAGTATTATACGTCAACGTATTTTAATTGATATATTCTTTTAATTTTAATGTGTTTTTAGAATTATTTTGTTTTCTGTTTTTATGATATAATCTTAATGTAACTTTGTTGTGCGATTTATTATAATGTTAAGCATTTCTCTTTCAGGCACAAATACAACTCTCTGTTCATCCGTAAAATGTCAATATTGTAAGTCAACCCCTACAGGACCTATGTGTTTCTGTCCACCCGGGTATAAATTGCAAGAGAATAATACATGTACAGGTAAATTTGCAATGAACGAAAATGACAATTGTACGAGAATTGCGTTCTTCTCTCTCGCTTACTTGACGATTTTTTTTTTTCCATAGATATCGACGAGTGTCAGACTTACGGGATATGTGATCAAGGATGTAAGAATCTCCCAGGATCATACAACTGTTTCTGTCATCCGGATTATTCATTGCAGGACGACAAAAAAACTTGCAAAGCTGACGGTAGACTAGCTTGCGAGCGTTATTATGCTTATCTATGCTATTAAAACTTAACAAATATGCAAATTTCTTTTGGAATTTAGGTGGCGAGGCTACATTGTTGTTTTCTACGAGATCGATTATTCGTGGATACCATCTCGATTCGCAAATACTCTTTGACTTCATGAAAGACTTAGACCACGTTGTCGATGTTGTTGTAAACGGAGATTATCTGTATTGGTCTGAAGTGAAAAATGAGAACTCTGTGATTAAGAGACTTAATACTCGTACGTATGAGAAGCGAGAAGCAATCGTTACTGCAGGTAAGTTTTTAATAATAATATTTAGTGATTATATTATGATCTTTATAAATATGTATAAATAATTTTATAATATATTATTTTGAAAAATATTGTTTCTTTTCGCAATAGCAAATAAAAATATGAACATTTTTTCATTATATTAAACTGTATAGTTATTTATAATCATAATTAAATTTACATATATTTATATATTGTATTATTGACGCTTTTTTATTGTATTTTATTGTCATATGTAATAACATAATTTTAATAACTGTTTCTTCTAATAATGTTATATTACATTATTAAATCATGATAGAAAATGATGAAAAATATCAATATTAAAAAAAATGTGATAAAAATAAATTAAATAAAAGAATAAAATTTTATTTGTATAGCAAATACTTCAAAATATGTTCGAAAAGTCGTAGCTAGTATTATATTATAATTTTAACGCAATTATATAATTCAGTATAATTTTATGTGCTTTTGTCGTGAAAAGGTTTACACACAGTGACGAGTTTAGCTGTGGATTGGATCACGGGAAATATATATTTCACGGATTCCGGCTACTCGCGTATCGGAGTTTGCAACAATAACGGCACTTATTGCACCATATTAATCAACAGTGATAAGCAACTGAAATCACTTGTCTTGTTACCGTCTAAAGGGTAAATACATATTATATACTTCAAATAAAAATTTAATTTTGTATACATATAACAATCTTGCGAAACCATAAGTTCTCAGATTTCATTAATTGATTTTGTCTCTTCTCTTTCCTGTCCCGATTTCGGAATTAATAAATATTCTATTAAAAATTTGTTTTACAAATAGAAACTTGAAATTAATTAATAATATACTACATTTTTATACGGTATGTTCCTATTTATTTTATTTTGTTATACATGAAAATTGCTTTTTAAATCTTATTTAGAAGATCAGAATATTTGTACATTTAATGAAAAAATATGTTTAATAATATTTACAGATTAATGTATTACTACGAAGAATTCAGTTTTATAAATGAAATAAAAATGGTAGGAATGGATGGAAAAAACATGACGACTTTTGTTAAACCAAAATCGGCTGCAAATGGATTGGCTATTGATTATCCAAACAATCGGTTGTATTGGCTGTCCAAAATAGGAATGATCGAATCAGTAAAATTAGATGGCACAGATAAAAGAGTGAGTGCGCATTTTTTGAAAAATACATTAAGATACAAAATTGTAAGATTTAATTGATACATTTCTATTTCAATTATTCGCAGGACATATTACATTCTGTAGTAGCGCATGCGGTTTCCTTGGCGGTTTTCGAAAATAAATTGTATTGGAGCGATTGGGAATCTAAATCAATACAATCGTGCGATAAATTTTCCGGAAAGGATTGGAAAACCGTAATTCACACGATGAAAGATATACCTTACCGTGTGCACATCGATCACATAGGGATAAAATCCAAAGTACGAAGTATCTTTTATTGTTTGGTAAACACAAAGTCGACTGCAAAATTTGTATTATCGTTAAATTTGATTTCAGATTTCAAATCCATGTCGTTCGAATCCATGTTCTCAACTGTGTTTGTTGAATCGAAACGAAAGCTATACATGCGCTTGTTCCATGGACAAAGAAGTGAACACCAACCGACATACCTGTCGAGGTAAATTTGCAATTTAGGAAAAATTCTGGATTTTTAGGCACTCTGACACTTGTGTCGCAATTACGAACATTAAACATTAATGTTAACGAGTTCTGATTGCAGTCTTTGATGAGCGTAATTATAAATTTCAGACGCGAAGAAGAAGCAACATCTTGTTATTATCGCTGGAAATACATTTATAAATTATTATCACGAATTGTTAGGGAATCCGAAAATAACTACGAGTACTTTTTCAAATCATATCACCGAAGCAGTTTACGATCAACTGACTGGTATGACGATATTGCTATTTTACGAATAAGAATGTTCTTTAATTTTTGTTTTATATTATTTTTTACGATTAAAATTTACAGGCACTATACTTGCAATCGATCAGTATGCGCACTATGTCATTCGCTATGATCCGAAAAATGGCGACATTAGTAATCTCATATCGATCAAAGATATGGTAGTGGGAGGAATGGCATTTGATTACATTGGTAATAATGTGTATTTGTCGAACATAGAACACAAAACTATTGAAGTACATAGTTTGACAACTAGGGAAAAGACAATCTTTTACTTCAATGAAGAGCCTCATTCTATCGAGACAGTGCCTACAAAAGGGTATTGTATTTTATTAATTACGATCACAATTTATGGAACAATTATTTCAATTAATTTATAATATTCTATATATTACAGCATAATGTATGTGAGGTTCAAAAATGGTGCAATCTTTCACGATCGGTTAGATAAAATAAAAATGAATGGACTCGGAGGAAGAAAACTTGTAAGTGTTATGCATAGTGATGTGTCAAGATTGTTAATGCATTACGATTTGCACGAAACCACATTGTTCACAAATTATGATTATAATGACATACAAACGCCGGAATCCTATGCAGATAGTAAGTTTTTCACTGAGTGCTTTGAAATATATTTTCAAATTGACAAATCATATCTTGTATTATAAAGTATTGTATATATTAAGTAGCGATCTTTTAGGGATAAAATTCATGTATATATCAAACAGTGCGGCAGTCAGTTTTGATTTCACCGAAGACAGTATTTTCTGGACTGAACGCAATTCAAAACAATTATACCGGAGAGATAAACACGAAACAAGATTTAACATCTTTAAGCATATTGCATTAAGTGAGTTTATTTGACGTTTTGTAAAATAGAGAATATACATATATAATAAGGTTAGTCAGTAAAAACTGAATTTTCTTTTAGCTATGCCTGTAGATAAAGTGGAAAATCCACTTGTGATAAATGTGCGTGGAATAATTGTCCACAAAAAGGAAGGTTGTCTGCAAAATAATGGAAACTGCTCACATGTGTGCTTGCCTTCTTCTCTTCAATCATTTGTAAGTAGGAAAACTTTCGACGACCTAATTTTAAAATTCGACGAATGCTATGCAAGTGTTTCATATATGTCACTTAGAATATAATTACTTTAATCCACGATGCGTTATTGTTTTTCGTAGAAACATTCAAATATACAATTTTATGTTATTGCTTTCAGATTTGCGCTTGCCCTTCCAGAATGGTACTAAGCGCGAATAATCGTACATGTACTGCGCAGACCGCGTGTCCTATTAGCGAAATTAAATGCAGTGAGCATGACGTTTGCATAAAGCAGGAACAATGGTATATTTATCAACTTTTATATAATCCATATATATGATAATAGATTAATTATTTGAAAACTTATACTGTTTTCGTATTGATAAACAGAAGGAAGATATTTACTCTTCTCTCTAGTAAATTATTGTATGTATATGATATGAATATGATGTCGATATATTTATAAAACTTTACGATTTATTTAGGTGCGATGGACGCAAGGATTGTCCGAATGGTGAAGACGAGGAAAGCAATTGTAAGGAGAGAGGTATTTGCGAGGAAAATGAATTTATGTGCAATGATCACACGTGCATAAATGCGAACAAACGTTGCAATTTTCATATTGATTGCATTGATAAGTCGGATGAGCAGAATTGCTCGGAAAAGCAATGCAAAACAGGTAATTAGGTACAATGTTAAAAAAATTATAATTTTTCCCCTAGGTAACGTTATTTAATATCGCATGGTCACTCATTTTTTTATGTTAAATTTATTAACTTGAATTTGAATTAGCAGCATATCTCATTTCATTGTTTTGTTTTATTTCTCGTTGAAATATATTTTTTGAAAGTATGAAGATATATATGCTTTCGCGTATATTCGTCAGAACTTGGTAACTAAATCTTTGAAATTTGAGTAAGCAGTTTCTTTTATTTCATATTTATTATCGAAATATATTCTTGTAATATTGTAACAACCTTAAAAACTTGGTTTTTGAAATTGGAATTTTTTTCTTAATCGAATTCTTTCAGGAGAATATCGGTGCAGCGAAGGAAAATGTATATCGTCTTTCTTAGTATGCGATGGCAATTATGACTGTCCCGATTTTTCTGATGAACTCCACTGCGATACTCATACATGTGCTTCGAACGAATTTATGTGCGACATGGGAAAATGCATTGCGAAGGATTGGAAATGCGACGGCGAAGTGAGTCCGATTATTTTCAAACAAAGTTACACTTGTATTCATATTTTTACGCTTAATGCACTCATTATATTAGCTCGATTTATTCTTAATCTTTTATCATGTGAGAATTATTTCTAATTTAAAGCTTGATCCTCCACAAAATATGAACATCAAAAGAAAACTAATAAAGTATATTTTGTGAAACTGGATTTCTAACTTTTTAAATTAGAATTAGCTTCAAAAATTTTTTATTTATTTGCAATCAACAACATGATTTGATGTAATTGTTTTTAAGCTTGATTGTCCGGACGGTTCGGATGAAGCTGGGAATTGTAACTCCAACAGCGTCTGCGGTTCTGACTACTACGAGTGCGCTAATGGTCGCTGCATTTCTAATCCATTGAAATGCAATGGCTTCAATGATTGCGGTGATGATAGTGACGAGAAATATTGCAGGAGAAGTGGTTATTCTCGTAATTGCTCCGAGGACGAATATCTGTGCGTGAACTCTGATATTTGTGTTCCGAAGAAAGCGAGGTAAGTTCACCCTTTTAAACGTAACGTATAATCGGCAAACAATACAAATGAAAACGTTAATTCTACCTATTTCACATTTGAAAATAGTTCTGATTTTGATACTTGCAAACTTTGTCGCGCCGACAACTTATTGCACCAATTTCCTAATGTATATAAAAGACACAAACTGTAACTAATACAACTCTAATAATGTTAATAATAAATGTTCTCTTTATCGCTTGTCTTGCAGATGTAACGGGATCCAGGATTGCCCGAGAAACGACGACGAGTATCGTTGCGCGTACTGTTTGGAGGACGAATTCACATGTGACAATCAGAAGTGTATCTCGAAGAAGTGGGTATGCGACAACGTGGATGACTGCGGCGATAAATCAGATGAGACAGACTGCAGCAATAACAAGAAAAATATCAAAGACTGTGAACATTTTAAATGCACCAACGGCACTTGTTTGTCGTTTAACAAAGTGTGCGACGGCATTAAAGACTGCGCGGACGGTAGCGACGAACATGAAAATTGCTGTATGTAACAAAAAAAACTCATCTTTAATCGCGCTGTTGAAACAGTTATTGTATAAAAAAATAAGAAATTTAGTAAAATACACGGAGAAGCGCTTTTGAAGAATTTATAGAGACTAATATCTGAAAAATTTATGCAAGACGTAATCGAGAAATATTTTATATTGATAAAATTTAACACGCGGATATTTATCATTTCATTATGTCTGTTTTTTTCATACAGCAATAGCTTGTCAAAATGCTAAATGTGAAGACCTGTGTCACAATACACCGAACGGCGCTGTTTGCAGTTGTCGATCTGGATATAGCTTGGATTCCGACGGGATGTCTTGTAACGATATAAATGAGTGCCAACAAAATGTTTGTTCGCAGAAGTGTGTGAACACTGTCGGATCATACGAATGTTCGTGCATAGACGAATACTCTCTTCGTACCGATAAAATTTCTTGCAAAGCTATCGGTAAGTAGTCGCTACTAAATCTTTGTGCAAGTTATTCATGATATAATAATGAATGTCAATGATCGTCTAGGACCGCAGATGCAATTTATCACCGCCACCGATGAAGATATCAGGAATATATCGTCTGATGTACGATCTATTGATTTGGTGCATCAGTTATCAGGCTTAAGCGTAAGCAGTATCGATTCGAATGCGTTCAATGATGCTCTTTATTGGAGTAGCGGTTAGTCTGCATTACATTATACAAATACAATATCTATTAAAAAAATAAAAAAGTTACGAGCGGTTTAAAAATTGCTTAAAGATTAAAATTGTGAAGATATTCATTAAAAGAAGTTAAGATTCTAAATCATTTATAAGCTTTTTAGAAGCGTTTCTTTAAAGGCACGCGTATATTGTTCGAATAAATACTGAGATAAAATAATTGCAGAGGATGAGGGCACTATTAACAAAATCAACGTTAAAACGCAAGAAATCTTGACCATTGGCAACCTTACTCCGGGAGCGATTGCGGTTGATTGGATCACCAATAATGTCTACTTCAATAATGACAACCGTCCAAATGTGATTAAGGTATATTTCTTTACAATATCAAACCGATGACTGCACTGTTTGCTGATTATTAATCTAAATTATTATTTATTATAAAGATGTGCAACTTGGAACAATTAAAATGTGCAGTAGTGGCCGAGATAAAGGGTATGGCGAAAGTTACGGCCCTTGTAATCGATCCGTTAGCAAGGTATCTATATTATTATGTCTCTTACAGCTTTCTCACTTTCGTTCATCTAACAATCGAATTATTATATCATTTATAATTACATTATCAAATTAATTCAGACGCGTTAAAAAATATCGAAAGCTGAAGTACAATACAATGCCCGTTAAAATTCTACAAAATTTATATCACTTAATGTTGCAGTTATCTATTTTGGTCTCAAACCACTTGGCACAGTCACGACAAGCCAATCGCTGAGATATATCGGACGAACTTGATGGGCGCCGACATGAAAAAGATCGTTTTTAGGAATATAAGCGTCGTAAGTGGAATGGCAATCGATCATCTAAGATTCAAATTATATTGGTCGGACAGTTACTTCAAAACTATCGAATCAGCCAATTATGAAGGAGATGGTCGCACCACGTTCTTAAATACAGATGTACGTAAATGGATATCATTATTTCTACGATCTTTCTATTATGACGAAAGATATCTGTGCACAAAGCGCAATTGTATTGTTCGCAACATTATGCTGATATGTTATATTTTCTTCTCTAACAAAAATACTTTTTGATTTTTAGATACATCAACCGGTGGGCATTAATATTTTCGAAGACTCGATTTATTGGTTAATGGCTTCGAACGGTCATTTACAAAAGTGTAAACTATATGGCGACAATGCATGTACAACAATAGACATAGGCGCCCACAACATTCACAAGCACTTTACCATCTATCATATTGCCAAACATCCTAATCTCGGTTAGTATATCTCTAACGAATAGCTTTCAAAATGATACAACATTTATAAACATTTAATATTATAAAATAAAATTGTGTTATTTGTTTATCCAACAGTGGAGAATCTTTGTGAAAAGCAGCATTGCGATTATATGTGCGTTTTAACGCACGATCTTAACGTGCGTAATCTTGCTTCTACACGTGCGACATGCATTTGTCAAGATGGCAAACCAGTAGAATCCAGTATTATTTGTCCGAAAAGTGTGAATGACGAGATAACAATTGCTTCAAGAATGTCCAGCATGAAATCAGCACATATCCGTCATGAAAGTGGCATATATAGTACAATAATAGTCGCGGTATTGGTTATAGGAACGTTGTTAGGCGTTTACTATTTTTATCAAAAATATAGATACCGGTTGGGTGACTTAGATCCTAATAGGTATGTCCTAAATTTGTTTGACTTTAAAAATCGGTTTTCAAGCATGATATAATGATTAATAATGATATGATACAGTTTCGACAGCATTCGTTTCCAAAACCCGTCGTTCGACCGAAGAGACGAAGTTGCTGTAACTCTTAATTCCGTGGCTTCGTGTAACATATGCCCTGGACAACACGAGTATGTGAATCCTGTTACTGACAAATTATTGGAGGTAAGTAGCAAACGATGAATGCCCGTTCTGCTAATTATATCGTATGCTATTTACGCATTTACATTTATTTATATATATTTAATTACATTGGTAAATGTAATTATTTACACTTCTGCATTACTATATGCGCGTATTATACGATTGAGCAGAATAGCCGTTGATTATGATGATTTATGATTATTTATTTACATGCAATAAATTATTGCGGAATTAAATATGCAGTTTCACTTGTAGGCTGCGAAGGAAAGTAGTTTAAAAAGATTGAAGGAAAGCTCGAATCAACCAAAAAGAGAAAATTCAGAGACACAAAAAAATGCGTCCTTAATTCATTTTGGACGGTCGTAATGTGAGAGTTTAATGGAAAGGTCGTAAGGCTTAATGGGTATTTAAATTATATTATTAGTACATAAAATATATTATAAAATTAAATTGACACGTTGACTGCCGCACGACGCATCGGCCGTCGTATCGATATTGTTTTTTAGAGATTACGATATTATTTGGCACCAATATTAGAATTACATTTACAATATATTTTGTATCAATATGAATCAATCGATTGTATAGCGTGGTGTTAAAAAACCTAATACGGCGACCGAGATGTCGTGCGGCCAAGCTAAGACATGGAAAAAAGTTTTAACATTGTTGGCAGTCAACGTGTTAAGGAATGCGAATCTTTGTAAGCCGCGTGCACGCGTTAAAAAATTTCTCAACAGACGCTAGTGATAAACATCCCAAGTAGCACATGAAACTTTAAAACGTCTGCGATAACGTTGTCGCAATTTAAACCGCAGCATTTTTGTCTAGCACAGCTACTGCCACAACATCACTGTGTCGTTTTGACAAAGTTGTAGCAGCAAAAATGGGACAACATTTTTAGGCTTTGAAAACTATATCGTAGCCATTTGGCTGCACAATTATTTTGCCGTAAAAAAGTTGTCATAGCCACATTACAGCAGTGGCAGTAAAATTACATAAAAATGTTTAAAAAAAAATTTTTTTTAAATTTTTGCTTTAACTGGTATTGAACCTATGACATCCCGGAACATTCGCCTCACTAAACTTAGATCAAATTTAAAGATTAATT